GGGGCTGGGGTGCTGGGCGTGAGGACGTGCCCTCCACTCCCCCCGTCCCCCCCCCCTGCAGTGCTCTGTCTTGAAGGAGAAGCTGGACTCTCTCCTCAAGACCTTGGACGACGAGTCCCAGGCCTCGACCTCTCTGTCCAACCCGCCGCCCACCATCGCCGAGGAGGGGGAAGACGGGGATGGGCCCGGCAGCATCTGCAGCTCCTCAGGGGACCGCTCCATGGCCCCGGTCTGCCCCGCCCGGCCGCAGATCTTCCGGCCCAGGGAGCAGCTCATGCTCAGGGCCAACAGCCTGAAGAAAGCCATCCGGCAGATCATCGAGCACACGGAGAAAGGTGACTACCGGCCTCCAGCGAAGCAGCCTGCCCCTGCACGAAGGCGCAGGGTCGAAGGGTGACCACCATGCAGGCTGGGGCCAGGGGTGGCGGGAGGTGTGTGGAAGCCCAGCCCTGAGCTGGAGGAGGGCAGAGGGCAGGTGTGTGTGTCCCCGACACAGCAGGGTCCCGGGGTCCCGGCCCCCACGTGCTCAGACCCACGTCTCTTCTCTGAGCTCAGCTGTCGACGAGCAGAACGCACAGACCCAGGAGCAGCAAGGCTTCATCTCAGGGCTCCCCATGTCTGAGGAAAAGAAGCACCCCGGGACAGACGAGAGGGTGGGCCCATCGCCGCCGCCTCCCAGCGAGAGCTGCGGGCTCTCCAAAGGCAAGAGCCACCGCAAAGGTACCAGCCGGCCTCCATGGCCCTGGCGACGGTCTCCTGGCATTTCAGTCTTGAGAAGCCCAGCAGCCCTTTGGGAGCTGGGCCACAGCCCCACATGCCTCCCCCATCAGGGTGTGCGTCTGCTTCACGGAGGCAGGAGTGTGCTGTTGCCTGAGTCTGCCTGAGTGCCTCCCTCAGCCCCACCCCAGGTCCCCTGTGGGTTTTCCGCAGAGCGCCCCCCTCCCCGCCCTGCCCCCTACTACATACTTGCTCAGAGCCCCCTTTCTGCCCCGAGTGCTTCCTTAGCTCCACTCGGAAGGCCTGCTATTCCAGG